AACACTGGCCAATTAACGCCCTTCAGTTACTCTCATCAATATCACAGAAAATTCTGTTTAATCGATTTACATGTTTACAATTAATTGTTCAGTCCTAGTAAGAGAACATCAAATAGGCACATGGAGGGCCCAAAATATTCTGCTTATGGCCCCCAAAAGGCAAGAACCGGCCCTATTAGGCCCACTAATTAGCATGGTGCTAACTGCATGCATAAATCATGACATACTTGCCTCAAACATTGTGTTATTAAGTAATTTCTAATAGACTTGTTTATGTGGTTTCTGACACTGTATGATAGTGTTTATTGTTTATTCTCTTGTTAATATATTATATTACCTATAATAAAAAGAGTGCCTTCAGAGAGCCTTATGATGTATGGGAACTTAAAAAATAAGTAATTTTTATCCTATTTTTATTTTAGAGAATTATCATATTGGTTGCAGTCATGGGCTGGAGGCTAGGGAACCAGCCCTGTGACTGGAAGGTCGCCGGTTCGATCCCCTGAGCCAACAGTATGTGACTGAAGTGCCCTTGAGCAAGACACCCAACCCCCAGGTGTCCCCGGGCGCTGTGGATAGGGCTGCCCACTGCTCCGGGCAAGTGTGCTCACTGCCCCCTAGTGTGTGTGTTCACTAGTGTGTGTGTGGTGTTTCACTGCACGGATGGGTTAAAATGCAGAGATGAAATTTCCCCCGTTGTGGGACTAATGTGGTCACTTAATCTTAATCTTAACCTTTAAACTATGCAAGTATTGTAGTAATACTGCTGTCTCAAACACAGGGGTTAAAATTCTGAATTGTCCAATTAAGATTTTTTTTCCCTTTGGTATATGGGTAAATACAGCCAAGCAAGCTCTCCCATTGGTTAAGACTTCAGGAGCTGAACTGAAGGCCTTACATGTTAGATTTACTGCCAAAGAATTTACAAGCTTCGAATGTCTGTGTTAAATTTAGAACTGCCAAAAATGTTCACATGCACTGGTATTAGCTAAGTGCCAAAATACTAAAAGAAATCCCACAGAGATAAAACAGTGTATCATACATTCAGTGTCAGAAACTATAGAAGTAATTCCATTTAGATAATTAGTTCGTACAATGCCAACAGGTGGGGTATAACTGTCTGTTACTTGTTAGCTACATAAGCCTCGTAGCTCCCCTCCAACACCAAAAAGGCAAACTTCAAACACTGAACATGTTTTGGCTGATCAAGTTTGGGGTAAGGAGAAAAACTGTGTAAATGAGGTTTTTTGGCTGATCTTTTAAATGGCCGGCCTGTGCTTGGAACACGTTCCTCGTTACTTCCACTGCAACCTTTACAGGATGACTCTTTTATCCTGGTCTAATTATCAGCCTCCTGACGCTGTTGTCTGAAACCCTAAAAACACTTTGCCTCGTTTATTCTCTTGTGAATTATTGAAGTGTTTCAGCGACGCCCCTGTCAATAGTACACAGCCTAATCTGCACTGATGGAGCCACAAGACAAACAATATAAACGATTCATTATTAGCGGCTAAATTAGGCCTCGGATCAAAATCCCGCCGGCTGTGGCCAGTCGTCTCCTTTTAGCTAAATTGCGGGCTATTGTTTGCAAGGTCTAATTGGCAGGAGAGTGAAGGGTCTGAAAGAGCAGCTGACAAAGGATCACATCTCAATCAACCAGAGAGAGAGAGAGAGAGAGAGAGAGAAGAGAGAGAGAGAGAGAGAGAGAGAGAGAGAGAGAGCAGAGAGAGAGAGAGAGGATGGCAAGTGTGAGAAAAAAAAGCAGAAGAGTAAAGTGGAATACGAATAAAGGGAAAGAGCGATGACATTTAACCCATAGAAGTCTATCATCCTTTTACTGTGCTAATTAAATATTATCACATATATCATTACATGGTTGGTTATATAATTACATTTACATTCGATTTACAGCACTGTGCAAAGGTCAGAGAGCAGCCTTCATTTGTTTAATTTCCAGTTAACTCATTTTTCAGCATTAGGAAGCTACACTAAAGCTTTAACAACTACATCTAATCTCAGCTGTCTGAGTGTCAGTGTGTCACTCTTTACCTTCATCACAGCTTCCATTCTTTTCAGGAGACTCACTTTCAGCTCCTCAAAGAATCTGCAGACACACCTCCAAAGTTCAGTCTTAGAAGCTGGTTGATGATTTTCTGAAGTAATCAAACACATTTAGTGGTGTTGAGGTCTGGACTCTGGGGTGGTCAGTCCATCGTTCAGCTTCTTTGTTTGATGTGTCCGTCTCCTTTTTTCAGTGAGGTTCTTCTTGATCAGCTACACATCCTTTCAGACCCACAGCGCTGAGTCGTCTTCTCACAGTGGAAGGATGGACAGAAACACCTGTGGATGTTTTCAGATCTGAAGCAGCTTGATTTTCTCCTCTCTCTCAGAGATGAAAGCTTTAAGTGCTGTTTATCTGATGGGGGCAGTTTTGAACTCATTTGAAAGTCCTGTTTTTCTTTTCTTATGCAAGTAGACTATCTTATATCTAATCTCATCAGAAATATCTCCTAAAAATTGATAATTTATATTCAGTGGCCTTTTTGACTGGAAATCAAATAAATCATAGATGGTCTCTGACTTTTGCTGTATGGTTTATATCAACAGGTTTGAGTCTACACTTCTGTTTTTTAAAGGTTTTTTTAATGTCAAAAAATGTAAAAGATGTTAAAGAACTTTTTATCAAATGCAAATCAGAATAAAAAACGTCTCTTCTGCTCCTAAACACAGATGTGGTGTAGGTTGAAAGTGTGGAATCAGCACTTTTCACACATTTGCTCCCCTTTGTTTCAATAAACTATGAGTCAGAAATGATTCATATATATTTTCAACATGCTTTTGTTATCATTGGTGCTAACAGAGACTTCTAAAGAGCAGGCACTGGCCTTTACTAGCCCTCAGACAGAGCTGACAACTCGATCTACCTTAATCACTCCAGATGATCAACAAACAGGGATTAGATTATGGTCCCTCTGATAGCATTTGGCTAATCTGTTATTGTCCAGAGTGCTAATGCAGTAATATCCGCCAGAGTCCATTTGATGAAAATATCACACTTGCACAAACACCTGACCGCTTCTCATTTAATCACTCACCACCCGCTAATGGGAAATCACCGTGTGTGTGTGTGTGTGTGTGTGTGTGTGTGTGTGTGTGCATTTGTCTTTGTATAACTTTGTAGTACAGCCACAGAAAAACAGGACTAGCCTACAGAAAAAGCAAGATTACTTCTTTTTGTTTACTGATCTTAAGACTGGGATTAGGTTTAGGATTAGTATTAGGAAATTCTTATTACATATAGGTGAACAACTGTCAGCTTAATCACATTACAAATAAAGAGGAGAGTGATAGAAAACCTGTAAAATTTGGTAAAAACCCTCAGCCAACATGCCCCCAACCACCCGCATCCCAAACTCTGCCCTCTCACTATTTAGTCGCTACATAAATATAATTTACATTTTTCTGCCTTTTATAGCTTTTGATAGATTATTCAATAATAATCTATAATAGTAGTCTGTAATATATCTGTGCATGTATGAATTTGTGCTAAATGCGTTTGTGTTGTTCGATCATGCATCTAGCTTTACAGCATTTTAAAATGTCAGAAACAACACAGTGATCCTACAGGTGAACCTTATATACACACAGACAGGCATATATGGAAGGTTTTTTTGGAAACAGGGTTGTACTTAGCTTTGTATACAGACAAGACAAGTAATGACGTCACTCTACTCCATCCTGCTTTGTTAGCATAACCGTAGTGCTTTACAGAACATTTCATACCTTAACAACTTTATACATGAAATTATGAATACCTAATAAGCGAAATAGCCTGTAGTTTTGGTTAGTGAGCCCTGCTTCTTCTCTCCTCTCCTCACCTCATATAAAAATAATATAAAAATGTACACAAAAATGTAGGTAAATTTATATATCACTGTTGTCGGAACAAAACCTCTTATCTCCAAAATGGTAACTTTACAGGAGAAGGAAAAAACATACTTTACTTTTAATGTAAGTCAATGGAACCAGAATTTTTTCCAAGTAATTTTAGGCCGTTTCTTTTGGTCCATTCTTCATGAACTTCACACACAATAAAAAGGCAACAGTCATTTTCAAATTAGGTCAAAAACTAAAAAACGACAAGAATTGAGATGCGAGGTTTTCTTCCGACAGCAGCGATATAGATATAGGTAAGTGAAATTACACACAGGTACTTACGTATGTATAATTCATGTGGGATATATTAGGGACATATTATGACTACTTATAGGTACTTATATGTACATACAGAATATACATGACCCCACATCCTGACTGATTACATAAAGACATGTATGTGTCTGTGATAAATCTGTGTGATGTGGCATAGCTTGTGTTTTCTTTTTTCGAGGGAGGACTTTGTGTCTCCAGAACTAAAACATTTTTAAGAGAGCTCAAAGACGTTTGCATTTTTGTACACAAGGTGTTTGGAGTTGATTTGGCGCTGTGGCTTCCCCAAAGCTGTGAAATCTCCCAAGGGGGAAGTGTTAGGTTTCAATTTATGTAAAAGAGAAAAAGTCAAAGCTGTCAGAACTGGAAGCTGTGTGTTTTCACATCAACGTCATATCATGTCTCAGCCCAATGCAGAGAAAACTGAAGAACTTGCTTATCCTTTGTGAAAAATAACTGATATTGCCATGCAGCATTGCAATATATGTGAGCATAGGTGTTAAACTTTTCTTTCTTCACAACAGGTAGTGAATATATCAGATATGATCCTGCTTATGAGCTCCACTAATCTTGTAGCTTCTTTAAAAAGGTGAACAATAACAGACTGTAGCCCATCTCTTTTTCAGCCCCCCTTCATTGAGTAAATGTATTTGGTGTACACTTTCACTGCCCACCTTCATGAGCCAGTTCGTCTCCCTTTGTGAGATCAGGTAGCTCTGCATTACTCTTACAGCCTTGTAAGTGGAGTAAAGCTTTTCAGCAACTAACCCATCGGCCTCTCTCCTTCACAGCAATATTTCCATGCGGGAGGAAACGGCCTGAAGAAAACCTTCCTGGAGAAGAGTCCTGACCTGAAGTCCCTGAAGTACGCGCTCAGCCTTTACACCCAACCCACAGATGCCTTGATCAAGAAATATATATGCACCCAGGCCTCTCAAGGTAAGGCTTCTCCTACAGCTGGGATCTGAACTATATTTTCACAGCAAGGCAAGGCTATATAGCACATTTTAAAAGCATAATCAAAGCAAAAGATCAAAATAAAATTAAAATACATTCAAATAAATGTAATGAATACAGAGTAATGAACATACAGTAAAAGCAGCGGACACAGTATTGTGTTGATATTGCCTTTAGCAGCCCTTAATCTATCAGGTTTTTATAACATACTATATTGACTGTGGCGTTTTCAACGTATGCACCAGTATTTTTCAGACATAATTGTTAAACCTAGCATTCTACATTGCTAATGCTAGTTGGCAGAGATGTACACAAGATGCTTCATGCGAGTCCGAGCTGAGTCTCAAGTCTTTGGGGCATGAGTCTGAGTTGAGTCTCAAGTGTTTAGTAGAGGTACACCTACTAAAATCCTGTCAGGTTCAACACGGCGTCCAATAACAAGCCTTTCCTTGTAGAAGAATCTTCAGTCTGAAGGACAGAACTGAAGCGCTACACACAGTAAATGAAGTACTTAAAGGAATGAGACAGAACAACTAGAAACGGTTAGGTAGACTAGTTTATATAGCAAGTATGCTAGCTAGAACAATAGCTAATCTAACTGAAGTTTTTGTGCATTTCAGAAAGATTAATGACCAACTTCAGCTAAATAAGCTGTTGCACTGACATAGCATGCTGTAGCGTTCACCTCTGCTAAAAGAGACATAGCGTTCGCACAAGTCATGGTGCTTTATTTTCCAGCTGTTGTCGGCCACAGCCAAGCTGTACATGAGCAGTTTTTGTTCTAACAGCTCGCTCTGTAACTAGTCTAACACTCTCTCTCTCAGCTCACACACACATAGACCCCGTTTACACCTGGTCACTTCATGTGTCTGGTATCTGGATTGTATTCTGATAAGATTTTAGCCACATGCGTTTACACATGGTAGTCAAATGTGTCTTTTTAGTCGGACTGAAATCTGATTGCTGTGTGGGATAGAATATTCAAATCCACTCATTATGCGGCAACCAATTACCATTTATTAATTTGTTTGGCCGCTAAGTCTGTAGGTTGTTTTGCACAGTAGCATCTGTCCATATTGCTGTTAAGCATTTTGTTTTCTCCAGTCTCCAAACATGTGCGTCTATGTGACACAGATCACATGCCCAGTAATGTACCACATGGAGAGTTTCAGTTGTGCTGGGAGGGGTTTCGGTTGTACAGGGAGGAGGTTCAGTTGTACTGGGAGGAGTTTCAGTTGTTCTGGGAGGGGTTTCGGTTGTACAGGAAGGAGTTTCAGTTGTTCTGGGAGGGGTTTTGGTTGTACAGGGAGGAGGTTCAGTTGTTCTTGGACGGGTTTTGGTTGTACAGGGAGGGGTTTTGGTTGTACAGGGAGAAGGTTCAGCTGTTCTGGGAGGGGTTTTGGTTGTACAGGGAGGGGTTTTGGTTGTACAGGGAGGAGGTTCAGTTGTTCTGGGAGGGGTTTTGGTTGTACAGGGAGGGGTTTTGGTTGTATAGGGAGGAGGTTCAGTTGTTGTGGGAGGGGTTTTGGTTGAAGTGGTTGAGCAATCAGATTTGTGGTTTTAAATGCATCTTGGGGTGTGTTTACACTTGCATGTTTATGTGGCTGGCTCTTATCCAGATGTAATCCTGATACTTAAGGAAGTGAATTGCTTGAAGTGACCAGGTGTAAACGGGCTGATATACACACACCCCTGGTTTAGTTCCCAGCCCCACTCTCTACAATAAGTGTCCATAGCAAACAAACCAAGTGCAATAAATGCTGGGCAACACAACCCAAAACTAACATACCGAAAACTTTTCTTTCCTTTAAGGACTTCAGTTCTGTCCATCAGACTGAATGTTCTTCTGTCACATAATGCTCATTATATGAATCAGTATCAAACTTGACGCAGCTGAACTGCAGGAGAACAGCATTGCTGTAATGACTGACCTTAGCATAACAGAATTGCACATAAGGTTGAAAGTGAAAGGACACTAAGTCTCTGTGTCTGCTAATTGGCTAAGGCTACCATGCTAACACTTCAGCCTCAGTGCTCTCAAGGGACATGTTAGCTTGTCATGCCAAACTTTTGGGTTCCATAAATGATTTCATTTCAAATATTAACAGAATGTTGATTAATTGTATAAAAACATATGTTTAGTGCTCCTTGAGGTTGCTAGTGCTGAAGTAACACACGGAGATGGGAGTAAAGCTCAGCAACACCTTTTACGTGTCTAATTAAATAATTCATACCCTAATGACCCCTTATCACTGTGCTATGAAAGATTTCTATACCCTGTTTCCATTGTACGTACGTGGGAACACTGATGAGGCTTTGCCTTTTCACCATGTTTACAGTTCATCATATTTTGAGAGACAGGAACCGTTTGTCAGACTTGAGGTTACGTGTTTTCTTTCTGTTGAAGCCAGCAGTGGACACTCAGAGAGGTCAACGGCAAGGAGGATGCATCCAAACCTTTAAGTTTCTGCATATCGATTCTGCATTGGATAAAAACTTCAGCTAAATTACAACAGTTAATTCTTTTAGTCAAATTTTGGACCACTGGTCAGTTGACACATTTATTATTTCTCAGTGTGTAAACACAGTGCTGCTCATATCAAGGCATGTTTTTCTGTGGGGGTAATTTTATGCAATTTTTGGGCTGCATAAGATAACAGGGCCTGTGGCTGCCTGCCAGAGCTGAGCTTTCTGATACATCAGGACTTGGGATTGAATACACTCGAGTTTACGTTTGTCCGTGATGGTTTCAAATCAGCAGAAGGTCACACCTCTCTAACTTTTCACCATTATAATTGCAAATGCCTGCACAGCATACAAACACAGGGGTCTCTTGCAAACAAGCAGCAGTCGAAAAAGCTGTTATGTTTCTCCATTATTGGAGAATAGTGCCCACACAGCAGATACATTGGTGTGTGTGTGTGTCTGGTTGTGTTCAGTATGGGACAGCATCGATCAGGATCAATACAAATATAGTGGAGATTGTTCAATTCTAAAGGAGGACGCTTGACCAAGTGTCCTTTCAGGTCTTAAACCACCAAAAAGTTTCAGTATGTGCTTTTAGAGGAATGGTTTGGAAAAAAAGACTTCTACACAATTTTCCAGTTACCCTCAGTGAAGACAGTTGAGCACTGGAGCTACTAGACTGTTGTAGCTAATGAACAAGTCAGTAGTCACCCAAATCTTTTCCTTAAGCACACGCCCAAAACTTCTCTCCTCTCACTCAAACTGCATCCAGGTCTTCATTTAAGGTCACTCGGACATGTCGATGTGGTTTAGGGCAAAATTCAAACAAAACTTAACAGTGTAGCTGAACGCTGTGATCATCCCCCCACAGAATCCAACTCCCCTTCATGTGTACACACGCCACACAGGCCTATGTGGGCTAAATTACATTCAAAATTTTGTTGCAATTTACAAACATGTATTCACTTTGAATTTTGTATTTCTTGTTGTCTAAAGCACTGCCCGCTGTGTTTAGCTGTTTTATTTTTTAGCTTACAATACATCATATTGTGTTCTGAACCACAGTGACAAGTCTGTACGACCTTAATGAAGACATGGATGTGCTTTGAGCGGGTTGGGAGAGGTTTTGCGGATGTATGGATGGAAAACATGTGGGTGACTCTTGTTTTCTAGTGTTTGTTAGCAGTGTTAGCCTGTTAGCTCCAGTGCTGCACTAAAGAAGCATAGTTTGGACACCACACAAGCCTCAGCTGATCAACTACATCTGAGGTCAGTGGAAAGTTGTGCACATTTGGTTTTTCATCAAACTACTTTTTTAACAATAGTTGCATAAATTCATGTTTCTTTCCTTTTTCTTCTCTCTCTCTCCTTTTAAACTGAACTGACCACAGGATTTAGAAAACTTTTTCTGTCTCTCTTTTGACCCACTTTAGATTCACAAAACTCACCTTCATTCTCTCTCTCTCACACTCCCTCTCTCTCTCTCTCTCTCTCTCTCTCTCTCTCTCTCTCTCTGTGTCTCTCTCCGTAGCTATAAGCTGTTTGTTTTCAGTACATGTAAAAAGGTACGGCAGTTCCTTGACCATTCTGCTCAAAGGGACACACTTAGCTGCAGGACTTTGTAGTTGGCTGCAGACAAGCTGGACGGACGCGGTGATGTCCGGCCTGCGGGTCTTCGAGTACCCAGTCAGGCAGAACGCTGCTCGTTTGTGGAAGGCTTCAGCAGAGGCTAAAGATACAAGCAGCTCTGGTCAGGCGGACGAATCCCAAGTGCCAAATCAGTCTTTCTCAGCAACTTAGCTGCTGCGCCAGCTCGGGGGGCTTTTATGCTGGGCCGATTTCACAATCAGATCAAGCCTTTCATAGCCATGAGGGCTTTATGGTTTTTAACTGTGTCGTTCTACAGTTCCTTCTGTGGTTCTAGCATTCACTCACTCTGATTGTAGAGTTTTCACTGTGGATCGAAAATTCTCACTGACTGTAGAATTCGCATTGAAGTTCTAGAATTCTCAATGTGATAGTAGAATTCTCACTGTTGTTCTTAAAATGCTAACTGTGCTAATAGAATTTTCATTGTGGTAGTAGAGTTCTCACCTTGGTTCTAGAATTTTCTTTTTGGTACTAAAAAGTAACAAATTGGTATTAGAATTCTAATAGTAACTGTAGAGTACTCACTATCATTCTAGAATCCTCACTATGATTGTAGAGTTCTCACCATGATTCTAAATTTTCTCTGGCATTGTCAGTGTTGTTCTAGAATGTTAACTGGTTCTAGAATTCTCACTGTTGTTCTGGAGTTCTCAGTTACTGTAGAATTCTCACTGTGGTTCTAGAATGCTAACTGTGGTTCTAGTATTCACACTTTTGTTTTTGTATGACACTTTATACAGCAGCCATTGTCCTAAAGCAGCTTTCCATAAAAAGGATGCAGCCCCCTAATATGCCTTGCAAAGGGAGACAGTGGCAAGAACATTTCCCTAAAAGCATGAGGGAGAACCACAGAGAGGAACCAAGAC